TGATACACCGGAGAGCGGAGATGTCCTCGGCCACTTCAGAACCCAAAGAAAAGTAATTAAAACGCTGTGCGAACGTGATATTACAGATGATTTCGGCTAATTCTTTACATGAGCAGTTAATCCGATGGCTAACATGAGACGCATACATCATAATAATAATACTTTTGAGTAAAGACGGCTTATTTTTGTAGATAGGAATGAAAATCCGCGCATGCAATCGTGCATTCAGGTGTCGTTTTGCAGAATTAAATCATACACTTGTCTACTTATCTCACTTAATGTGAGATGTTAAGAAAAATGTAGACCTCGATTTGACTCTGTAAAACAGAAAACGCGTCGTTTATGGAAACGACGGGTTAGGAATAAATCCCAGCGTGATTACTAGCGGTGTGTGGATTTCCTTAATTTGGCAACCGTGATTTCCGTTCAATTTACTTATTGTGCTACAATAAATCGTTAATCCCGCCCCGAAGTTCGGTTCGGGTGGTCCGGAAGCGGAGTGAATAGATAGATAGATAAGACTTTATTAATCCCGTAGAGAAATTGATGTGTTACAGCCGTCCAGCCCAAGACAAGCAAAAACAGACATCAGAATAGGCGAAAAATTATAATACGTACAGTTATACAAAATAAATACATAGATGTGTGCAAAATACGATCATAGTCACTGTAAAAACAATAAAATATGTGCAAAATGGGCATAGGTTTATACAGCCTGATTGTCCAAAAAGTACAACGGAGCAAACATGCTGTCCATAGACGAGCAAATGAAGGGCTAGCAGCCCTAGCGCTCTAGGAGTTTAATCCAGTTTTTGACAGACAGCATCAGTCCTGAAAATATCGTGGTCTTAAAAAAAAAGAGTAAAATGATTTTATTCTTCTAAAATCGTTCCTTTCAGGCTCGGGTCTGGTGCTGGTCGGTGCGATCAGTCATAGGGCAGAACAACAGAAACGCTGACTGACCCCGGTTTTTGAGCAGGACTGGTTCTCGGGAGCGCCTAAACATCCATCGCGACCTCTTTTCGAAATCCGAGTTGCTTTCACACCGGGGTGAACTCGCTCTCGTTAACCGTCCTGTGGTATGGTAGCTTGGTACTACGGCCGGGTTTCGGGGGGACTTGTTAACGCCAGATCGCTCGCTGTCTTGCAGCGCCGACGCCAATTCGAAATGGCTGGAAGCTCACTACGACCCGCTGGCTAACCTGTACACTTTCTCCTCCTGCATCGGTAAGACCCGGCGAGCGTCAGGGCTTGGTTACTGCTCGTCTGGAGGCGAATTGCCCTGCTGAGGCTTTTGTATTTTAGGGAGATAGATGAGACTCGATTGATCCCGAAGGGAAATCGAC